TAGCATATACTTCAAAAATTTCAAAACAACTTTACCTCAGAAATATTTTACACGAATTTTCCAAAGTGCTCATTGCACCACAACAACCCAGTCAGGTTATCAAACCACCAGGCATGGAGTAACCAACAGAAAAAACACTTTTATAGAATCGCAGTGTTAGAAATCTTGGGTCCTTGAAACCCTATAACAAAGCCCCTTTCACCCTCCAATCCTGAGACAATAAATCCTGCAGTTCCCCCTCATCGTCGCTGTCAACATTCTCTTCTTCCTTTTTCTGCAGTTCTTTTATGGTCAGAACCTCTTTAAGTTTATTTTTTATTTCATCCTGGCGATTCCGCAGGTTCTCCACCCGCCGGTAACACTCTATCTGCTCATCGATCTCCCCAATCTGCCGGTCCAACCGTCCCTCCTCATCCTCTTCAGCAACTATGGCTTCGGAAATGGTGTTGACCTGTCTCATGGCTTTTTGAAATTCGTCCCACTCTTTGTCCATCTGATCCTTCGGGGCATCAACCTTTCGTACTTTCGCATCTATCTCAGGGTCGTCAAAAAAACCTTCGGGTAATGCTTCCGCGGTGTTCTCTTTCCTTTCCACTACTTTTTCATGTATTTCTGCTTTCTCAATTGACCCTGAATGAGGAATTAAAGGGGCCTTGGGAGGATTTGTATTCGAGAAATCACTTGGCAGCATACCTGTTGCCTCCCGGGAGGAAGAATGTGCGTGTTCCTTGCTCTGTGCGTCAGGCGGCTGCTTGCTGGCGTCCCCCGGTTTCTTTTCTCCTCCTTCCACCTCCGCCTCCTCTTCCTCCTCCTCTCCCTCCTTCTCCTCCTCTTCATCTTCATAATCAGGGATTAAACCGAGTCCCGAAGGCTTACCGAGGGTCGCTTTAGTGGACTCCTTCCCTGCTTTGTCAACGTTGGTGGGCAAAGCGGACGTGGAGGGCTGTCCCTGAGGCACCAAGGCTCCCTTCGCTCTTTTGGCATCGTGGCTCTCTGCGTCCGGCGCCTTCCTCTTGGTGGACTGCGGCACTGCACTGGTTGATGGGCCCTGGGGGGCTTCCTTCGCACCTTTCAGCCCGGCTACTTTCTCTCGGTGTTGCTTTCCCAGGACGTGAGTCTGCCACAGCAGCTCGCTCTTAACCGGGGTGTTACACAGGGCACAACTCAGCTGTCCCAAACGGTTGTACTTCGCAAGTGGAGAGTCTATCCGTTTCCGGTTGGTGCTCTGACGCTGCTTCTCCCTCATCAACCGCCGCAATTCATCCTGATTCACCACTCGCTTCCCGGCCGAAGGCCGAGCCGAGGCGGAGGACGCCATCTTTGCGACCGGACCCAAGGCGATTCTGGCTTCCGTCCCGGCGATGCCTGTTAACGTCACTTCCTGTCCGGTTGGCGATTGGCTGAGGTTCTGGAGCCTGAGCCGTGGCGCCGGGATTGCCCTGAGAATCGCTGCTCAGGCTGTTTTTGCTGGTTAGGTGGCTCGTTCCTCTTTCGGGTTATGTCAGCAATAAAGGCGATAAACTCCAAGGCTGAAGTGGCGCGGGCCCAAGCGGCCTTGGCCGTCAATATATGTGCCGCTCGAGGGCTGCAGGATGTTCTGCGGACCAACTTGGGTCCTAAGGGCACCATGAAAATGTGAGACGGCGGTTGGAGCGGCGGTTGGGGAGACGGGGGTTTGTTGGGTGTCGCGGCGCGCACTGAGGCAAACGTTCTGCGAAGAGATTGGAGCAATGTGGACACACTTGTGGGCCTGGTTTCCCTCTTTCTCATTCCTTCCCTGAGGTCATGTC